ACCCAAGGCTCAGGCTAAGCGCTTCGGACCTTCAACCATGTCCGGATCTAACCTTCAAGGTCGGTGGATGGCCTCCTCTATCACAGAGGAGGACATCAAGAAGCTAAGGGAAGTCAGGTATCTGACCGCCGAAATCTCGCACAGGCTGCCTGCTCAAGGGCAGGCCATCCCCGCTCCCAAACCCAACGAGAGTGTCGTATTTGTTTCCCACTTCCTCCGAGGGCTAGGCTTTAGTCTTGATCCCTTTGTAAGAGGTCTTATGTTCTATTACAGGCTTGATTTCCACGATCTAGCTCCAGATTCCATCCTTCACATCTTGTCGTTTATCATCGTGTGTGAGGCCTTCCTCCGCATCACCCCACACTTCGGCTTATGGCTCAAGACCTTCAATGTGAAGCCAAAGACGATCGATGGGCAACATGCAGAATGCAGAGGTGCCATAATAAGCAAAGGCGCCGATGCTCTATGGCCAAAGGGTTCCTTCTCGGAGGTGTCCAACTTATGGCAGCGGGAGTGGTTTTACATCACAGCTCCCCGAGGTACAAAGTGGGCAGCTGCCCCCGCCTTCCGCTCGGGTTCCCCGCTGCAACTGGCGTCATGGATCAACAAGGGGCTAGACTGGGGGCCAGTTAATGACGTGCTGACATTGCAAAGTCGCATCCGAGATCTCCTCAAGAGGGATGTCAGTCTTATCAAGGTAATGCAAGTTATGCTAGTTCTTCGGGTCCTGCCATGCCAACGTCGATCTCTCCGTATGTGGGAGTTCAACCCGGAAGGACCGCAGACTATTCAGCAATTTTTCGGCGTGACGCTCGAACAGATGTATGGATTGTTCTTCGGATCACGAATAAAGTGTTTGTACACCACCGAGGATGCGGGTCTCAACCGCAACCGTTTAGATACACACATAAGTAATTCTGCGGCCGAACATGCTGTCTTTTTATTTGTCATAACATCATTCCGAAAAAATCGCTCTCGGCCAGGACTGGATAAGAAAGGCGGAGAGGATCAGGTGTTCGACCCCCCTTCCCGAAGGCTCACCGGATCCTGTACTAGCCAGGATGCTTGAGCACGCACCTTATCAAGTGCCATCAGGGGAACATAAAGGGAGGAATAAAGAAGCCGAAAGCGGGCTTCACACATTACTCATCCAAACCGGGGGAATTAGTGTCTCCGTGAAGGAGGATAATCGGGGAGAAGAATCTAGAATCCCCTCTCCCCAAGGAAGGAAAAGGACCGCCTCTGAATACATGGAAACAAAGGTTTCCAAACAAGGGAAAAAACCTGCGCCAGGGGGTCCTGCCCTGGAGGGTGTCCTTACCGCACAGCGCCCGCAAGGGGGCCAGCCTTCCACCGAGCTATAAGTGAACAAGAGTACTTTTGGTAAATATATCCTGCTTTATCTCCGAGGACAATAACCGAGACATGTATCTTGCAGTCCGGCTCGTAGCCCTTCTCGACAGAGTTCGTCTTTAGGGGATCTTCTTCCGGAGATGATGGAGAGCGAAACGCCTCCCCCTGTATCCCCGCCTCCTGGGGCGGACGACCCTGAGGTGTCATCACGGAGGATTTCTCCTGATCCGCCAAGGCCAGAAGGTAACCCTTCGGCCACCCGAAGTCCGGAGTATTCGGGTCCTAAGGAGAGCAACAGAAAGAGTTTGGGATTGTTCGATGCACAATCGGACGCACTGATGGGTCTTTTGGAGCAAGCGGCTATCTCAGAGGCGCATCGTACTTTAATGGGTACGGTGGTTGAGAGGATTTCATACGCCAAAAGTGGGTTGCATGAGGCTTATACGAGCCTGCTAAGAGGCTTTGAGGTATGCAAAGTAATATATAAATTTTTTGACGGTACCGCACACGCTAGGTGTGCTCTATACAGATAGTAGCCCCCGAGACTCTGGTTGCTGTCCAGAGGCAACAAACAGAGGATCATAGTCCCAGGTAATGATCGCGCTGCTTTCATGTGCAGGCGGCTGAGGGTCCGGTGGCTGGCCGGACTGCTGAGTTTGCCGGACTGAGGCGGCAACTTGACGAGGCAGATGCCGACATTGCGCTTGTGAACAAGCGGCTTGACGAGGCACAGGGTATGTATTTTCGAGTGGTCAACAAATATTAAGAGGAGCATGATGCTAGTATCTATAATATGCTGTGACTGCAGATGGAGATGCCGCCAAGGAGACCCTTCGGGCGGATTTTGCCTGAGCCAAGGAACAAGCCAGGAGAAGTGATGCGGCCGCCCTAAAGGCGGCCGAAGACTTAAGAGCCGAACAGGCTGCTCATCGCCAGAGCGAAGATAAAATAGCCAAGATGGCTGTTGAGCTGAAAGATGCCGCCGGCTGATATGAGCTTCTTGAAAAGGAAAGCCAAGCGAAAGCGGCTGACCTGAAGAAAGCCGTGGAAGAAGCCAAGGAAACCCGCTCTAAAATCAGAGCGGCGAAGGAGGAGCTCCGTCAAGCCAGAGATATCACGATTGGGAAGCCCTTTTTGTTGCGGACAAAGTTCGGAGATCCGAAGTATGCCCCTCTGGATCAATTATGGAGTGCTGCAGACGCGTACTTGGACTTGGCAATGAGTGCTGCTGATGCGACTGAGTTTTTCAAAGATCAGAAAGATCATGAAGTGGAAAGATTGTTCTGGTCGCAGTTCAGTGCTCCAACGCGTCCGCTGCTGTTAAATGAACAAATGCCCGAGTGGGCCGAGCTCCATAGGTTGTCCGGACTTGCCATGAGGTCTGTCGTGGATCATCTTTGGCCGAAGGGACCAAGGCCGAATAGTTATTTTGGTTTAGTGCAACGATTCCTTGGTGCTGTGCCGCATATTGACGCTGTAAAGAGGTCGGCGTGCATAGAGGGTGCGCGGATGGCTCTTGCCCGTGTTATGACATACTGAGCAGAGATGGAGGCCACCGCTATTGCAACCCGGGATCCGGCCGTAGGCTAGGTCTCGGCTGAGCACTATTTTGAAGAAGTCCTAGAAGGCGCTCGTTTAATATAGGCTCAGTGCTCGAAGAGTATCATGTTCGAGTGACATTGTCATAGCCCTAGCTTTACCCTGGCCTTGGACTAGTTTGGTTGCTGCATCATGTTTAAATTCAATTGAAATTTGAATTGAGGAATTTTCCAAGCCTCAGAAAACCTCTAAAAATAACCAACATTTAAATCTCATCAAATGAGTCCAAGAAAATGTTCCTATTATTCTGTGAAAATATTGGCATGAGGTGAAATTCAAACAAATATTTTGGGAGTCACAGAAATAATTTATTTGGGCCTTTGATTTAAATCAATAATATATTTGGGTTGGAATTATTTCTGTTATATAAGAAATAATGTCCAAATAATCCCAAACTGAAATGTTTCATGTTGGGTTTATTCCATACAGTAAGCATGAGCAGTTTGGTGATTTTTGGAAGTGTCTAAGTATTTTTAATAAAGCCACAAAGTTGCAGAATAATAGAAAACAATAAATATAAAAAAAGAGGTACCTTACCGTGCAGCCCACCACTGTAGTGGCCTACTGGCCAAAGCCAGCCCGGCCCACCAGGGGCAACACTGTCTTCTTCCTCCTGCCAGGAGGAGAA